CAGTTGAGCAGAAGACAGCCGCAGGCTCTGCCTTCCACAGAAAACCTGACTGCTGCCATCCAGTATCAATGAGATGACTAGCTCTGATCACAGAGGCCCCCAGAGTTTCTCTGAGGTGTGAATGAATTCTGTCACCACAGGACCATAACTTGTATAAAAAAAATTATGAAAAAAAAAACCTGAAGAATCAGAATTCCTTGGCATGCTTCTATTTAATTTTTTTAAAGGGCTAACAAAAAATTGCCATTGGAAAATGAAAGAACCAAACCTGGACCCAATGGGAGAGTGTTTGGTTTTTTCAGGCACCAGGAATTGAACTCATGACCTTGCACTTGCTAGGCAGGTGCTGTGCCGCTGAGCTAAATCCCAGCCCATCACTGGGAGAGAGTTTGGTCACAAATCCCAGTGGTGATCCCGCGCCATCAGTTAGTAGCGTTTTAGCGTAACAGTGATGGCAAACCTTTTGGAGACCCACTGCCCAAACTGCAACCCCAAACCCATGTTTTTATGGCAAAGTGCCAACACCACAATTAGACCTGATCACTGAGTTTTCGTTTAGAAAAACTTATACATTAAATCATTTGTCTTAAAAGGAAAATAACACAGCTTTCAATGATACTAACAGCTTTTTATGAAAGGTAAATGTTTGCACTTGGGGTGCCTTTGCCCAGTTCACGTGGCCTTTGCTGCCATCAGCCTGCTGACACTTCTCCAAACCTTAGCTCCAACTTCATTAGAGAGCAACGCAGGCAGCGCTCAGGTCATGTGTCTGTCTGTTTCTTGTATCAGATTTGATATAATTCAAAGCTGAAATCGGCCTCTCAGAAGCATAAGATCAACCAGAGCAAGAGAAGAGATCCCAAGTGCTTTCACTGACTTAAAGTTCCTTGGCAGAGAATCCCACACTTTAAGGACTTTTCTGATCCACCAGCTCTGCTCCCTTTGTCCTCCCTTCACCCCTTTACGTTCTCTGTCTTCAAGTGTTGCACGCAGGTCATTGCTATGGTGTGTGTCTGGGTGTCCCCCAAAACCACAGGCAGTCATGGGGTAGGCTTTTAGAGTTTATGACTGATTCGTGGATGTGAAGGCTACACCACCTTGGGGCAGGCAGTTTGCATACCAATGTGATGGAGGGAAAGAGACTGCTTGCCACCGCTTCTCCCTTTTGCTCTTGGTGCTTTTGCTGTTTTTTGCGACCATGAACAGTTGCCCTCTGCCGTGGGGCACTCTACCTTGGAGCCAGCAGAAGATGGACTGAAACGTGCACATACTGTAAGCTGAATAAACCTTTCCTTCTTCCTTAATTGTCGGCATTGCATGTTTTGTCTCAGCAACAAGAGCAAAGTAACCTAGACAGTCATAGAATTTATTTTTCCACATAGAGCTTTCTTGAACTCCAATAGCTCCATTTCCACAGTTTCCAAATCAAACCAATGTAAGAGGAAAGCTCAAACTCAAATTTGGTTTAATCTAGAGAAGTGAGAAAACACAAGATCGTCTCCATCTTATGGACATGTGCAGCCGCTCCAGTGCTAGAAAATCCCTTCTAGATTTCCTGAGAGCTGATAGGATGATCTGCAAATGTTACAGAATTTTCCTACATGCATTTTTAGATTTGGAAAATACTTCAGCTGCCCACTTGCAAAGTCTGGTGTGGCTTGGCCTACCTGCCATCGGGAGGCACGCATAGGTTCACCACCACTTGCCTGTGAAATAGTGGTTGTCACAGCTCTGCTGGGTGCAGAGACCCCATGCTCTGATGGGAAAGGGCTTTGTGGAGAAGTTCACAAGAGGGGCATGTGATTTTCATAACTACAGCTCTAGAGATGGAAACGGAAGATGACACTTACTGGGGACTGGAAGCTTATGTCCCTCTGAAACTTGGACGTGAAATCCTAACACCTGAGGTGATGAGAGCAGGATTTGGGGCCTTTGAGAGGTGATTCGGTCATGAAGAAAGGAGACGCCTCATCCCTCCTGCCATATGAAGTCACAGTGACGATACGGGTCCTCACCAGGCGCCAAGTCTACCAGGGTCTTGATCCTACTCTCCCCAGCCTCCAGAATTTTGAAAATAAAACACTAGGTTCTTGTTATGGTTTATGTCTGTGTGTCCCCCCAAAGCCTCATGGGACCATGGGTCAGGATTTTAGAGTTTGATTAAGGGTGTGAGAGCTGCACGCACCCTGGGGTGGATAGTTTGCATATGTAAGGGAGAGGAAGACAGTGCTTCAGGCCATTCCTCCCCGATTCCTCCCTGATGTGTGGTTGTTGCTTTTGCTGTGTTCTGCTGCCATGAGCTGTGGCTCTCTGCCATGTGCCACTCTGCCTTGTAATCTGCTAAATATGGACTGAAACCTCCACAAACTGTAAGTGAAATAAACCTTTCCTTCCTTAATTTTGGGCCTCAGATATTTTGTCCCAGCAACGAGAGAAAAGTAACCAAGACAGAATTTGGTACCAGAGGAGTGGGGTCGTTGCTGTGACTATATCTGACCATGTGGTTCAAGAGCCTTTGGAAATGGCTTGTGGGGAGTGTTTGGAAAGGTTTGGAGTTGTCACCTGAAAGAGAAGCGCTAGAACACTTTTGGCTGTTCTGTCTGGGAGATTTTGGTCAGAGCTCAGAAGACCAGAAAGCTGATGGAAATCTTGCCGATAAAGACCAGGTTTGGGAGGTTTCTGCTGGGAAGAAGGACTGCATTGGTTGTTGGACTCCAGATGGTGTGTGTTATGACTTGGCAGAAAGTTTGTCTGCATTTTCCTCATGTCCAGAGACTTTGCCTAAGACTGAGATTAAGGGCGGCAGCGGACTGA